TGAAAACATCCTACAAACATCTGTTATCATGATTTCCACAGTTCACAATGATTTGTTCAACTGATCTCCTTTGTCTTTTCATTTTCAGGGAGTGAACACCATGAGTGATGAAGGCACCTTTTTAGGAACACTGACGTACGATCAGGACGGCGCAGCGTTCCAGACCCTTAAAGTGAACGTACGTATGATCAAAGTGATACTTTTTATTAATGTGCATTGTTTAATTTTTCCACATTCTAAAGTTTTGTGACAAAAATCAATGCAAAATATCCGCACTGGACCAAAAAAAAGTCAAAAAAGCTGCAAACTGCTCTTTAAAATAGATGCAAAACATGCACATGCTACAGAGTTCACATAGATGCCAAGTGCACATGCATAATATATTACATTTCCTGTCCTCCCATTTCTTGTCATGATTAATATTTCTCTCTCTTGTCTCCCTCCAGAATCCAAAAGACAGCGTTTTCAACCACGTGAGGCTGCAGGTTGAGAACAACTGGGGAAACGCTCACCACACCTGTCTGTACAGTTTTAGGGGGAGAAAGCCAGCAGACCATCGCAACTGCACCGCAGGACGATGCAGCAGTAATGTGTTTGTTCCAGGATCGTGTGAAACAGATCCCGAGTCCTGTAGTGACTCTTTGTAAAAATTGTAACTAGAGAGCAGAGTAGGAGGGAGAGGCCTTTTTCTTTTGAACCTTTTTCTCCTGTTTTTTGTTTACTAGGTAGGTAGGTAGGTTATTGTCTTTTATTTGCTTTTTCTTTTCTGATAGGGAGATCAGGGTTCCTGTAGTATAGGTTTTTGTTTGTTATTTTGGCCTATGTTCCCCTCTACATTGTAAAAAATAAAAGAAACTGCTTGTTTGATACCTGGCTTGTCGTGATTGCTGGCCTTCTTTGAGGTGGAAAGACTGGTGTGGAGCAAACATCATGTTATGCTCAAGGTTCCCCTAGACCGGGGCATAACATTGGTAAACTTGGGACCAGTTACCATGTTTAAGAGAACTTTAATATCTGTAAGGGTTCCGAGGCAAGTATAACCAGGAACCTATCGGTCGAGGCAGACGGCCGTACACTCTGAGCCTGTTACTGTTGGAGGTTTTCCCCCTGTTAAAAGGGTTTTCTCCTCCCCACTGCCATCAAAAGCTGCTCAGAGCTTTATTGTCTGAAGTAAGTTTAAACATGCAGCCTAAAGGTATGCACATTGAGATTAAAAAAAAGAAGACAGAGAAA